GTTTTAAAATAGGTATTACATGGTACAAAATTCAAAAGTACAAGGTGTGCAATAAAAATGTATCTCCATTTCACCTGCTATCTAGTTGCTTTCCCTGGAGGCAACTGACTTATCAGTTTCTTATGTTTTTTCCCAGACATATGTGATATTCTTTTATCTACAAGAATATAGATAACATAGTAATTTTTATCTTCTAGCAGGAATAGTAACATACACACTGTTCTGAACCAATACAGCAATAAATGTCACTACCCAGTACTCACAGAGCTGTCTCTTTTTACTGACCACATGGTATTCCATCTTATAAGTGAACTATAACTTATTAAATCTGTTCGTGTTCATAGGCATTTAAATTTTGTCTACATTTTGCTAATTTCATGTTGCAAACAACATCTTTGACTGTAATTATCCTCATGCATTATAACTATGAGATAAATTCCTGAAAATAGAATTGCAAGAGGGTCTGGAATTCAATGGTTTTGATGGCAGTGATAATCATGAAACCAGTCACTATCATTTACTGCTCTGCAGTAGTGGGGTGTGGCACAGATTGCTTTCATCCAATTCCTCCATTCTTGGTTCTGAGGCTTTTGGCAAATCACCTAACTATACAACAAGCCTTAGGTTCCTCATCTATAAAATGGGAAGATAATAGTTTTCACCTGGAAAGATTGTCATTTGAATTGAATGCACAAGTACTTGTGTCTGTTACAGGGGAAATGCTCAGGAATTATGAGCTATTATGATGTGGTGGTGGGCTTCCTTTTGCTCCTCTAGATCCCTTCTCTGTCCTTCTGCACCTTTTCCCTTCAGGCCAACCCACATGGGCTAAAGCAACTGGGCTTCAATGCCCTCTAGCTTAGGGTTTGGTTGGAAATCAGGGGGAGAGATGAGAGTAAGGTCAGAGTATTTATTTTTCCCCTCCACCAAAGGTCACTGTACTTTCTAAAGACAAGTAACTCTATCTGCCCTTTTCTCTTCTTTGGATTAGGGCTGCTGTCCTCTCAGATGCACTGTCCCTTTTGCCTTCTCTGTTCTTCTACTATATATAACCTCTAAAAAAAAAAAAAACCTCCTGAATTTTCCTGTTTGGTAGGTGCCGTCTGTCAACAGTTGAGATCCTAGTTGATAAATATTATTAGCTACATTCTCTTTTTTCTTTCTAACTCAATGATAGGTAGGTATGAGACGGCTTATTTTCTGAATGAGGAAACTGAGGCTTTGGAACTTGTCAAAGATCACCCAGCTAGTGAGAGTGAGTGGCCAAAGGAAAATTCAAGCTCACTGTGTCTAATTCACAAGCACATGTTCTTTATAAAATTTTATTCTTTCAATCCAAATTATCTGGCCAAGATTTGTTCATATAAGGATACTTCTTAAATTTTCTTGTTCTTCAAACTTGTCCCTAGAGAAGCTTCTGATCTAGTGTGCCCCATTCAGCACCAGGAAGTTCAGTTTTAACTGTGTCACTGAGCCATTACATGTCTTGCGTTTTTTTTTTTTTTTTCTGTAAAGTAGAAATCATTTGTTCTCTTCCTTTCTCTAGGGGAAAAATATGAAACTGGTGATCTGATCTGATCTTACTTAAGATAATTTAAAAATCAGAGTTATAACTTAAGTTCAGTTTCAGTTTTAGTGATAATTCCTTTCCTTTTAGTGAAGGAATTCCTTTTAGTGAATAAATAAAAAGAAATGGAAATAATTTCCTTTTAGGGAAGAAATAAAAAGGAACTTTGATAGATGAATGAAATTCCCTCTTGCTTAGGCCAAGACTAGCTGCAGGCAAGTGAGGAACCTGCCTGGGATGCAAAACTGACAAGGGCACCGGAAAGTTCAGTAACCAAGGTCAATACTATTTTAAGGCAGTATTTTTAAAAAAATCAACATTCCTGGAAAAAAATGATAAAAATAGCAAAATTTCTAGTAAAGGCAGAATTGTTAACAATGTCTGATGGGGGGTGCATACTGGAGGCTGAAGCAAAGGAAAAATACTGATCTTCCTTTACTTAAAATTGTGATATTTTAATTCATCATTGTCTGCATTACTTTTGCCATTTTAAAAAGTATCACACTAAAACCTTCTTGATCTTGACTACTGTTTTTGTTTTCCTTTTTTGGCCATCTCTCTTAAACTGTGTTTTGGCAAGTGCCTCACTCCTGTCATGCTAGTTCTGTCCTGGCTAAGCGGCCTCCAGGCTCAAAGTTGAAACTTCCTGGTGGAGGTAACTAACTACTTGATCCCACCAAGGTCAAGTTCAGCATGTTCAAAATTCTCTCATCATTCCTTCAAAACATTCTCTTCTCCTGTCTTCCTAATTTCATTAAACATGATTTAGTTATGACTCAGCACTCTCACTTCATCTCCACATTCAATCAACTAGGCTGTCCAAAGTCTTTCTCATATCCAACCCCCCGCTGCCCACTGGCCAGTCGTGACTCCGAGTCCCCCATCTTCAGCGAGGCAGGCAGTGGGGTGGAGCAGCCTAGCTGAGAGCGCGGCTTTGGCCTAGGTTGACTCCTGGCCCAGGTTGACTCCTGGCCCCTGCACTCCTCAGCTGATTAAACTTGGACAAGTTCCCTCACATTATTGTGTCTCATTTTTCTTATCTATGAATCGGGAATACTGACAGACATTACCCTTTCTAAAATTATCGTATTAAATGGATAAATAAATATAAACCTGGAATAGTGCCTAGCATAAACTCAGCTGAGACTGAGGAGTGGTTAATTCACTTCTCCACATCCAGTCCTGTAAGAATGTTTCTAAGTCTAGTTCAGGTAAGGATTGCCCATTTCCTGTACAAAAAAGTTCTCTAAGACCAGAAGCCAGTTTCCTTTCCATGACCTTTTTTCCTCTCTCTCTTTCTCATATCTGAAGTCCTTAAAAGTAGATTATTTTCTCTTCCGCATATTATTGCCTTGCTCCCAATATCTGTCTGCTGAAAAAGTTTTTACCACTGCTTTAAGGTTCAACTAAAAAGCTACACATCTTCATCATCGGCAGTCCTTTGGCTCCATCAAATGTCAGCATCCTCTGCTCCCACTCTTCTTGATGTGCCTTACATAACAGCAATCACCACACTCTGAAGTGTGTTTTCTCTCACAAGCCTGTAGACCTTCTTAGAGACTTAGGTCCCATTATTTTATTCCCTGAGCTTATGGCAACACAAGCTGAAAAAGTGCAATTGAATAGTTGATTTTGAATTAAATTACATTTTGGGGAGGGGGGGAGGTGCAGAGCATAATTTACCAATCCTCTTTCAGTCCAGTTAGAAACAGTCAAGGTGAAAAAGTTTTGTTTTGTTTTGTTTTTTTAACCAAGAGTCTGGAGGTATGCAGTGTGGGGCCTGTGGCTGAATTCAAGGTAGGTGTTCTTCTACAATGTTAATGCCCAGGGGGAAATGCTACGTAGTTTAATACTGGAAATAAATAACAGCATTAAATAATGTAATTGATTCATTGTGCAGTTCATTGGAATGAGTTATTAAAAAACAAAACAAAACAAAAAGTTGGCTTCAAGTGGTCTACATTCCCCAAATCATAAAATTTTACATCCATTACTGCATCATGACCACAGAATTGTTGAACTTAAATATATGTGAAAGACAGGACGTACATTTGTTTTCCCAGAGACGGGAATGCTTCAACTATGCTATTTATTTGGTTTCTTTTGATTATAAATAATGAAAGAATGTAATTAAAAATACATTTCTTTTCCTGGTTATCCTGCTACATTATAGTAACATGTTTGATTTACCGAATAATTTGAGGGTTTAAGCGTGGAACCTGGAGTCAGAAGACTTGAGTGCTGTGAGGATTAAAAGAGGTAATGTATGTTGGAAACATAGTCAATAAACATGGTTAATAATCAGCAAGAGCCCTTAACCCCAGTACTCATCAAAACCAGGTGATTATTAAAAGTGAAAATTCACTCTAAGGAAGTGTGTTTTCATCCCTCTTGTCCATACCAGACAAACCAGGACTTTTCTTTTAATTCATCTATTTTTTTTTTTAGATCAGCCAGGATCTAGGACTTTTTCTTTCACCAATTAGTTAGATTAAAATCGCACATAATATTATACCTATAAAGGCATGGTCATGGCTCAATACCACAGTGAAGGTTGTTTATTGGTCTTGAATGTCAGCTGTTGTGATAAATAATTCATTTCTTGTAAACCTTTTTAACACAGCAGGTTCATTCAGCACTTTCTTTTTAATAATTTTATCATATATAAAATCTATTATTATTGTCATTGTTGTTGTTATTATTATTATTATATAGGAAATAGCTAGCTCCTATGAGATTACGGAGAGAAGATATCATCATTGCTTTGGGAGTTTACATATTAGGGGATGCCTATGACCAAATGAAAGATTGAGGATCGAAAGTCTGAGGGATTTATGATCTAAAATGATAACTTTTGCTTCATGTTTATGCAAATAGAGATCTGAGGATAATTCTGGTTTTAAAGCTATGATGAAATCGAAGCTAACACTGCTTGAGACGATAGCAGGATTTTTTTTGGCTGATTTTTCTAAATGTATCTATTTACTAATAATCACAATTGACATTTTATTCAATTTTTCTTGTTTGTAGCACTGACTTCAACAGCTTCAACAGTGAGAAATAACTTCAAATTTTCAAAGAATATGTCAACAATTACTTAGAACATTTGAATGTCAGAACTGTGTGACCATAGAAAAAAACGGAAATCAGACATGATCACATCATGGTTTTACTGTATAGGTAAAAGGTTAATTAATTCATCTAAACCAAATGGCAGTTTGTTGAAAAGAGTTAAGGCTTGAAGATATCCTTCTCACTGACCAGAAATCACTTCCTTTAGCAAATTATCTTCTTGACTCATTAGCTCTTTATATGATTTTAAATTGAGCAATTTGACTGACATTCCTTTTACCCTTAGGTTCCCCTGATCTCAGTATTTTGGAGCTTCCCTAAAATCACAGCGTTCTATAAACTATTCAAATTGATTCAAAGGTTTTTGTTAGATGTTTTATTTTACATACTTCAGAGAACATTGTATTCCAAACCTGGCACAGGGAGTTTCACGTCTTCCATGTCTACCCAGTCCATCTCCTGAAATGACAAAAATTAAAAATAAGTCATTCAATGACTATCTCCTGTACACTTGGTTCCCATGCTTCTGGCCGAGGCTGACGGAGGAAAAACGAAAGGCAACTGGCCTCACCACAGAAATCGTGGGGCACTGAGATACTTGGGAGACTTTTAAAAAGATGCGTGAGAATTCTTTAAATTTTTTCCCACTATTTTTTATTTTAATATTTATTGTACATTTTCTGATTACATTAGTTACACATGTTCACTAAAGACGATTCTGAAAGTACCAACTATGAATGCAATTAAAATTATCCCTAAACACACCACCTACAGATAAGTTCTGATAACGTTTTAAACAAAATTAAGGTATTATATGAAACTGCATTTTGATATGCAGTTTGGTTTATAATCTATAATACATGGATCTTTTCAGTGGGTGGGTGGAGCTGAAGATAATGAGAATTTTCAGAAGTTCCATCCTCCCCTTGGAGAAACACTGGCTTGTTAGGCATGAACAAATCCGGTGTCATTTTATAATTTCTGAAAGTATAATTTTAACTTTTATTTTCATTTGAAAAATTATAAAGGAATTACACTCACCCATAATCATCACATCTTTCTTGCTCTATTTTCACAAACATT